GTTAAAACTTAGAATAGAAAACTAGAAGAGTAAAAAATTCGCATTTACTACACATTTATTATATACATAGTTCTATACAGGGCGATCCACGGCCATGATACGAAAGTTTGAAATTCGCAGCGAATATTCGCAAAAATTAAATCAGTTTCAATATTCTCGCCGTTTTTTTAAATCGACCAATAGCAATTCGCATTTCTCAATTCAGTGTACCTATATGAATCTACCCGAATAATATAATTCTACATTTTATTGGCGTATATTTATTTTAGAGTTTTAAATAATGCGTCAAAAATTTTGTAAATTTATTTTTATTTTCCACCCGTTTAGTTTTGGATATTATACTTCTGAAGTAAATTAAGAAAATGATAAGCATTATATACCTTTATTTATTGAATATTTGTCTACACTACGCTACACTTTAACATCACATATATTTTCTTTTCTGTACATAATATTTAACATCCAGTCTTTGACAATGTACCGTATGATCGACAAAAAAACAGCGTCAGCGATGGCTATGAAATGAAGATCGCTGTCATTTTATATGTAAATTTGGCCAACTGGACGCCGCTTTTTTTTCGATCATACGGTATATATAAATATAAACTAAAAAAATTGTAGCATTCGGGTAACGAATCCGGATATCTTGAGTAGTATTTTTTAGAGTATCTTGTAATTAGTATTTTTTTAACGTTTTTCGTGATGGCCACTGTCAATTCTTAAGCTTAGGTGCCGTTTCCACCAATCAATCCGTCGATTCTTGAGATACACAATCTATGAGGGGTATGCCCACCCTAAAGTGTATCCCCGCAAATCGCAGCTGACCAACATTTTGTGGATTGTTTTATTGCTTGCTACCAAGGGCTGTATTCTAAAGAACTGTTCGATAGCGTCAAATCGTCGCTATCGTAGTCACCGTGGATGCTTACGTCACGCAGGCACCAACGCCCCACAGGGCGGCGGATGGTTATTCTAGCGGGACAAAATCTCAGGAGCGATATTATATGGTTGGCTGATAAAAATTTATCGAAATACAAAGAATATATACGACCAAAAAATAATTCATGCATTTTTATATCAATTGGAATGTCTACTATTTATTGTTATCAGTATACATTTTTGGCTTATTTCTAACCAAACGGTTTTGTCCTGCTAGATTTATCTTCCGCCGCACTGTGCTCTCGTCCGTTAAACGCAAAAATAACTGTCACTGTCTAAAATCTTTAGCGCGAACTTCAATTCGGTCTCTAGAAAACGTAAATAAACTGACAGTACAGCAAGATAGGAATCGAACTATCCTTATATCTATAGTATCCTTGGCTTGCTACTACTTTGTCCAGTATCGTCTCTTCTAGAGTCGTTTGCTGGTCGGTGGTCAGTGCAGCCCCTGGGTAATCCTTTGGTAGCAGCGCCATATTCACTTGTCCAGCAATAGGAGCAAAGCTGGTGATACGTTTCTGCCGATGATTTGAAACTCGAAAAACGAAAATTTAATCTGAATCATTGTGTTTTCTATGTACAGCACAAATAAATACTGTTTTCTCTAAGGCGCGGTCTCTTCAGTTATAAATAAATAACTTTTATCTAACAAATAACCATCTAAAAGATAAACAATCTAGAGCCTGATATCTATAGGATATAACATTTGGGTATTTTCATACAAAATAATCCAACAGATAACAATTTGGAGGACGGCCGCCTACGGACCGGTAGACACTCCGTAGAGAAAGTGTTGCCAATATAAGATATCTAAAATTGAGATGGTTATATATGAAAAGTCGATACAACAGACAGAGACAGAAACTCGGAATTTCAATATCAATTTAAAAAGTGAGGTTATTGTTCAGTTGTCAAAAGATCGTCAAAATGAAAATAAAAACAATAAAATTCAACTAAAATATATTTTGTGTTCAACTCCAACTAGTCCTATTATGGTATAGGCTATTTAAATTTACCTTATGGAAAAAGGAAAGATAGTTCAATTTCAGAGTGGTGGTGGTGCAATAGATCTATTGATGGAATGTGATTTATAAGAAATTAAAACAAGAAAAAATAATCTGTAAGTAATTTATAGTTTAATTACATGATATTACTGTTATATTTATTATATTAACATTTTAGTACAATTGATAATAGAAAATATGAAGAAGCTGGTGAAGTGCAAGCAGAGATTTATAAACAAATCCTAAAACCACCATCTGGTAAGTTATTAATATTGAAAATTAAAAATAGCATAAGACTGTTAGTAATAACAAATATGTTGTTCTAGGGCTTCTCATAGTAAAGAAATAGGTAGGATAGCATCAACGATAGTAATTAAGGTAAGTTTTTATTTTATAAAATAGATAAATGCACTTATACTTTTGTCTTAATAATAATAAATGAATAGTACCTATAATAATTGTTATATTTACACATTATATGCACAAATTATTTAATAAAAAAAATTAAATAAAAACAATTTTGTCATATTACTTTTATTTTTAAGAACTCAAAGTGATGGAACTTCAAAAAATAAAGGAAAAATCTTGTCTAAACAAAGTTGAACTAACTGGAATTCAAAGGACCACAATACAGATGTTTTAGCAAGGTTTAGCTAGAGAGTTACTTAAAAAACAGCATGGAGAAGAGATGTACCGTATGATCGAAAAAAACGGCGTCAGCAATGGCTATGAAATAAAGATTGCTGTCATTTCATATGTAAATTTATATGGGAAATATCATCGATCATCATTTCCCAGCCAACTGGACGCCGTTTTGTTTTCGATCATACGGTATAAGGTACATAGTGCAAAAAATTAAACTAAAATTGTAACACAAAAGAAATAAAAGCAAATGTGAGTTGAATAACTGGTTTTATAAGGTTCCTGTTATAATATTAATAAATTAAGATATGCGAATTGAAAATGAAATAAATATGTAGTTTGATTTAAAAAGTTTTATTTATTTTTTACCTACTTTAGAGCTTTATTAAAAACTAGTTAAAGCCTAGCGCATCCGCCACGACATCAGGAAAAAAAAATACTTTTTATTTTTTTTAATTAAATGAAAAACAAAAAATCCGGCGACGACAGTTTTTAGACGAGCCAATTAACTATCTTTTAGTAAAAAAAGCAACTTTCTAGAGCAAGTCGTTACTTCAGTAGAGACGACACAGATAAACATTAGCATTTTATATAATATGTAGTAATGGTTTATAATTGAAAGGAATTAAATAAAATAATTTATAAATTACTGTTTTATCACTATTATCCTAACTTAATGCATTCTCTTCGTTCTGATGATCTAACAGAACAGGGACTCTCTTTATTTTGTAACAGTCCTTACAAAGTCCGGCACTAGCAACAATCGTTTTTTGCACCATTTCAATGTGTTTATGGGTGTTTATACTCCATACGATTATAGCCTACATACTCAGAATAGGTAAGTCTTTTCCAAATAATCTAAAATCGAATTTATTGGAATAAACGAAATCTTCAATAATAACAATGTCTTGGTTATGTTAAGCAATTTTGTCAAATATCAAATAAAATCAATATCTCCTCATGCCTTTGCTCATGCGTCAAATTGTTATCCGACAAATAAAGCATCATTTAGCAGGGCAGTTCGGGCGCCAGATAGGATATCTGGGAGATAAGTTTAATTTATCTAATAGATACTGTTATCTATAGGTGAAGATACGCGTTTTTTTGCTATCCGTCAAATAAAATATATCTGGCAGATTATAACACGCTATCCGTACCTGAAAACACCGGGGGTAAAGGAGAAAAATAATTACAGGAACAATGAAAATATGAAGCTATAAAATAAAGTATATTTTAAATTTGTTATCTGACTGATACAATTATAAAGATAATTGGAAGTTATTGCTGGCTACCGAGTGCGTATACAAGTATAGTGTGTATGTCGAAAATATTTTATTAGTTGGAATGCCAAATGAGAGCCTCCACCGCAGCTGCCGAAATCTATTGTCGCCTTGCATTTTAATTTCACCCACTATTATGGCCTTCTATTGGTAATTTGTGAGGTTTTAGAAATATGGTCTGATTTTAATCCAACATTCCTAACGAAATTCCGTATCCCGCTGCGCCAGGCAGAAAATATCTCGGAAAATATTTTATCTTGATCTTTTCCAATACGTTTTATACCATATTTTTTTCTACAAACTAAACTGATATTTTTTGATTAGTTTTATTTTTCTATAAACATTTCGACCCATTCTCTTTTTTAAACCGTTTTTCAAGTAAGTCCAAAATAACCTAGTTATTTTTTTGTTTACATATTGAGAACCACTGGATCTTTTGGGGTTTTTCTTTTTGGAAATTTAATCTACGACCTATGTTGTCATATTATCAAGAAATTATGTTTTTTAACTAAAAACTAAAAACATTTTTTTTTGCGAAAAAAATCTCATATTTTAGACTTGTTTCTGGAGTCGAAATATACTACCCCTAAAAATATTTGCAGTTATTTAAGAATCACCCTGTATAGTAGAAGAAATAGAATTCACATTTTAAAATACGCACTGCAGATTTCAGATAATCATTTATTGATACATGTATTGGCTGGTTGCTGGTTGTAATACGATCATTTTTTTTTTCTTTAACACTGAAACTAGGAAAATATTGCGGAGTTTTTGAATAGGACCACGAGAATTTACACCTAGAGTATATACAGGGTGTCCCAGAAATAAGTGCAAGTATTATAACTGGCGATCCCAGAAACACGCCCGTGTTTTTTTTGCGTAGAAAACTGTTGAAAATTTCATATTTATCTTGACATTTTTCCGGAAAATGTTCTTGTTTAGTTTTCGGAAATTTGTTTAATGTGCTTCGAGAGAATGCAATGTTGCCACCTCCTACGTTATCCACATTCTGTATGTTTATAAGTTATAACTTCACAATTTTAAATTTCTACAAAAAAATAAATACTTACTTAAATTAATTTTATTCATTTTTTTTTAAGAAGTAGTTAATGTCACTAGCAAATATTGTATATTAATATATGATTATGTCGCATTTATTCCCTTTTTAGTAAAATCTAGATTTGTTACCCTCTGCTTCATCCAGATATAATTTATATTACACATTTTCTATATTATACAAAAATAACTTAACTCAGCAGAATGAAAAATTTACACAATCCTCCTGAACAAATCCCGAAACATTTTTTTCAAGCACAATCTGAAAGATCGCCCGCACAAAGCATAAAGTATAAAATTTATACTAAAGTTGGTGTAGTATAACATCTGAGAAACAAGTTGGGCGCAATGTAAATACTCAGGTGGAATCCTGTCAATCATTGTGAAACCGAAGTAGGCAACAATTCGGATTACGTAACTGAAAAAGAAAACAAAAACAGTTTTAACATGAAGAAAATTACCTTTTTTTAAGGAAATATGGCGAAAGTTGTCATATGATAAGTCGTTCTATTCAGAGATGTCATTTTCTATCGAATAATAATAATATACCTACGGTTCCATTTAAAAATCAAAAGTTGTAGTAATTTCCTGTGAAATAGGTATACAGGGTGCTACAAATTCGAGGTACGGGCATTGGTATCTCGGTAACCCTAATAGATACGAACATGGTTTAGTTGGAGTTTGTGTTCTTTAGGATGTTCACCAAGATAACATTAAAAAAGTTTTAAAAATTTCAAGGATTTGAAATTTTGAAATATGCAGGCCCGGATTTAAAAAAAATTAAGTTGGCCTCTGTATCTCATAAACTATCAGCTAATTTGAAAATCTAAAAATACTCTCAGATAGCTCTAATAAAGTGGCTATATGAGAATATGTAATTAGTGTTTTGATTTTCTAAAAAGTAATGACAGGAAAAAATAAAATTGATTTTCAAAAAAATCCGTTTTTTTCTAAAAACTCAGCAATTGGTAATTGGTAAACATCCCAAGGAGCCCTAACTTAACCATCTTCGTATCTATTACGGTTTCCGAGATACCAATGCTCGTACCCCGAATTTGTAGCACCCTGTATAGTGACCGAAACTAATTGAATACGTCAATGAATCCTTGTTTATGTTAAATACATAAATACTAAATCCCGTATTTTTATATAAAAAATAAAAAAGTTATAGGGGTGAGCCAATTTTGAAAAAGACCCGGTATAGTTTAACGAAATTACGTTTAAAGGTGAACGATACTAGATGGTTGAGCGACAAATCGCGTTGATGAAAGTTATATGAACTTTGCCCGAACGGTTATTGGCCATGTGTCAATTAGCTCATTGGCAAAAGCAGGTATAATATAATACAGTATGTGTCAAACTTAGTTATAAATTTTCGCTGTTTTCACGTTGAAGTTTAGGCACTTCCAGCAATATTCACTAAAACAAATTTAATTTGTTATACAGAGTGTTTAAATAAAAAAACATGTGCTATCTCTCGTGGGAAGAGTCTGCTTTGTTTGGGAGCTACAAGGAGTTAAGTCTTTTAATGTGCCTTAATCCAAGTCAAATAGCAAGATTTAAAAAAAATACTGTCATTAACTGGTCAAAGTGTTAATCAAGTACTCATTGATTTCTCATCAGAAACATGAAAAAAGTAACTATAAACATAAATGCGGAACGGCATAGTTTTAAAGTTACAGGATGTTAAAGTAAATAACTAAAATGTAAACTAAACGTAAAAAAAATGTAAGATGTAAACGGAAATAACTACAACTTTTGATTTCTAAATGACACCCTAGATATTTTTTTTTATTTTATTCGCTAGAAAATGACACTCTGAATAGAATGACATATCATATGTTAACTTTTGACATTTTCGCATATGGTTTATTTGAAATTGTAACATGCGGTTCATAACAACAATTTGACTCCAAATACCAAGTGTGTGGTACCAAATTATTCGTAAAAAAATGCCTTTTCCAAATATGTTAATGAGCCACCCTCGTTCCATTTGAAAAAATTAGCCATAGCACTCTAGATTGAAATTTAAAATACGATTTTTTTGTAAGCCAAAATGTCATAAGTTGACATATGATATGTCATTCTATTCAGAGTGTCATTTTCTATCGAAAAAGTAAAAATATCCTGAGGGTGCCATTTAAAAATTAAAAGTTGCAGTTATTTCTGGTGAAATAGGAAGTGATCAAAAACAATTGAATACGTGAATCAATCCTAATTTATGTCACATACTAACATACCAAATCTCATTTTTTTGTCTGAAAAAATACAAAAGTTATAGGGGTGAGCCACTTTTGAGACGCACCCTATATACTACAAATAATGAAATGCTATAATATTATTATATGTTCTTAAAAATAACCATTGATTACTACTTACCTAGGAAAGTTTAGTGCTATGAAAACTGATGAAATGATTAACAGCATCTTGTTAATGTTATGCTGAGCTTGATTATTCGAAGCTCGATGTTGCCTATTACCTGGAAATAATAATTAAGTTGCCTTATCATAATCTATTTAGATTATCTTAGATATTTATTATTATCATTATACATTTCTGTAGACTTTTTCTTTGCTACAAATCTTGCTAAGTCAAAAATGTTGGACGAAAAATTATAGTATATTTTTTTGAAATATGTTTTGGCTATGTTGATGTAATCTAGTACTTACATCTAATAGAGTACTCCTCATATCTAATATATCTCTTTGAGGCTGTCGATTCTTGGTCCGAATTCCTCGTCGAGTCGCTGCTCTGCAATTCATTTAACGCCTTTTTGAATTAGAGTAATCAAATTCTGTTCAACTTACTTGTGAGCTCGCATATTGAAATCGGAATCTGTCGTCGTCGGTAAAGGCCAAACGACGGGATTTAAATATGACTTTAGCAATTAGAGTATTCATTATTAGTATGAGCGTCATCGGAATGACGAATGTGAATACAGTGTCTAAGAAGTTGATGACGTTTGCTATGTACCAGTTCACCGCTGGGTCCATCTCGCAGATATTCCTGTCTTCGTCCTTGATAGCTGTCACCATCTATATCAAAAACAAAACACTAAGATTAAAGGAAGTGTTTCTGACTGAAATTGAATTAGTATCCAATCCTATTTGGATTGGAGATTTTTTGTACGTCATGTTGTTTATATAATCAACCATCACCATCATTTATTCCTTAAAGGGCCATTACACTACTCGCATAATATGCCGAAGTAGGTCAAAGTCAAATGGTGAAGAGGGTTATTTTTTGTTTTCTGTTGTATGACATACCAAGAATGTACAGGGTGGGTCAAATTGGACGCTTTTAAAGGGAAACAACTTTCATTGCTAGAGCTATAACTAAGCAATTCTCTATACCGCTGATTAAAAAAATAAATAAAAACATTTTAAAACCTATGACGATGCATGAAATTCCGGACAATTTACTAGCTGATTTGGCAACTATGCATCAATTCACAATGTTTGTCAAAATTCAACCTTCACTACTGCCAGCATATCCTTCAATGTAACCTGCCAATGATTTCTGAATAAAACAGTTCTTCATAGTTTTTTTGAAGAAATTTTACATTAAATGCTTAATTAAAGGATTGTAAAATGGTTGTGTTATGAGTATCTTTAATCAGAATATTGTTTTTGCCCCGCCCAGCACCCCTATTCGCTCCCCGGTCCCGTAAGTTTGTTTGGTTGAAAAAATACTTAAAGAAACACAAGCCGGACGGGGGGGGGGGGGGCAAGAGGGGGCATTTGCCCCCCCCCCCTGGATCACTGAAACAGTAAAAATAAAACCATCTTCTTACATCCATCTGTAAAAAAATAATAATTATTATGAAATTTTTAGGTGTTACCTTTAAAATAATAAAAAAATATGTTTCAATTTTTATTCATTTTTACCTTGCCCCCCCCCCAAATTTCATTCTTCCGGCGCCCATGCTTCTCCCCCAGCATATTTGCAATCTCTAAGGACAATAGAACGTGAGTATATAAAAATTTTCTTATATAGTCGAAAAATAGCCGAAAACCGTATATGCAACAATTACCAATAATTGGTAAATAATACAATTAATACAATTATTGTATTAATTACTTTTTTATCGACCGCTTTTATATAGCTCAGGATGCAAGTGTCTTCAGTGAGAAATTAATTTTAAGTTGGTGCACACAATTATATTTGTATTTTTTTTCGCTGGACTTTCTAAATACTCGTAAAAATGTTTGGTGTGTGGAAGTTCTAATAGAAAGTTCCCCGAATTATATTTTCATAGGCAAGAAAAGTATTCAGTTGTTCTTTTATTTATTTTAAACAACATGCATACTTTCTGGTTAAATTTCGTAAGTATATTGATATTCGTACGGAGTGGCTAAATGTATTTTTTATATAATTTAATTTTTGTGACAGCAAACATTCAATTTATTGTTCAAATATATGCATTTTACAAATTAAATTTTTAAAATTAATGTTCAAATTTGGCGCGTGGACGAAAGGTTGTCGACAAGGAAAGATAGAATATAAGCACCACGTGTGCAACAAAAAAAGAAGATAAATGGAAGTCGTTGATATGTTAGCGACAGTTTCCATAGTGATTTACTTATCCACGTAAGTATATATGATCTAGGGTTTTACCCAGGGGGGTGACAGTGAAATAGGAAAATTGGAAACAGTCATTAGTGTCATTCTTGTCATTCTCCTCACGACAGGTATGGCCGCCTAGACAAGGACAGCATTGTTTTTGTCTAACTATTGTCTAACTTCACAGTTTAGAATTGACAGATTTCAGTTTCAGAGACAACTTCAGATTTGTTCTAGAACAAATTCGAAAATATTCGACGCCATTTTAATTCATTCCGTTTAGTTTCGTTTTGGAAGTTCAATTTAATATTTCGGCTGAAATTTATAATTATAAAGGTAATAAAGTATATAAAATATATATTACATGAAGAATCCTGGAGAAAATGACGTTTCTGCCGTAGTAGGTATGTCCCATGTATATGAAAAATAGGTAGTAAATAAACACTGTTTTTACATTTTTTAGATGCAAGAAAATGGTGTTATAATCTCTTTGATCGGCGATTTTTTTGAAAATGGAAACAATTTACAGCAAGGTAAGATCATTTTTAACTATAGCCAACATCATTTATCTCCAATATGTGCGATTTATTGTCAATAATGCAATAAATCGGACTGATAATCTGATTATGTTATCCGACTAAAAGTCTCTTTTTGCTTCTTTTTGATTTATAAGCCAGGTCTCTTTGGGAATAATGGACGCTTTTTTAAACAGTATATTTATATTTTATACCTATTGATATTTTTAGATTGTTAATTTTAGTATAAAAAAATTTGTTTTTCTGTTTTCAGGTTTTTGTATAAGGCTCCCGTTTTCATGTCCCTGTGTCCGTTTTCTGTCCTTGAAGTCTGCGAATACGTGTGTTTATTTACAAATTACTGTAAGTCATGCTTATACCTTAACTAATTTACGTTAAAAGTACATATAATTAACTAATTGGTATTGAAACAATACAATCCTCTATATTTTTATGTTTATTTAGTCACGTTGTTCCATACTTCAAATAAATATATGTGAATAAATTATTTTTTGGTTTTATTTATGAAAAGAAAAAATACAAAATACATTTGAACTGAAAGAGGGCCCGCCATTGAATAACCGGAAACGGAAATGAAAATTAAGCCATCATGTCCTTATCATGTCAACCTGTCAATTGGAAAATTAGTTCTCCAGACGACAACGAAGGCTTTCGGTGGCGTATCGTGTTTCCACGATTTAACACAGAGTTGACACTTCTTTCTAGTTAATTATTTTATGGTTTTACCTACCCAAAGCAGATGCACTTGTGACAGTAATCCAAAGCATATGATTCCAACGACTATCATTTTCGCTCTGGATACCGTACATATGTATTGCCTACGTAAGGGGTAGCGCACAGCTATAAACCTCTCAGTCGTGAAAGCAACTGTCAACCATACGCTGAGAAACGCGCACACTGAACTCAGGTAAACGTAAAGCTTACAAAATTCTTTTCTGTCGAACAGCTCGAAAATTTCGTTGTAGGTGCAGTAGGTTATCAGAACTGTTACCAGGAAGCCAAAATCGGATATCTGTAAGTACAAAAACAAAACAAAACAAAATTGGTTAATATTAAATTAATAAATGTATTTATCAATATTAAGGTACATTCAGGCTGAGAGCGTCGAGCGTTGCGCCGCGTTTGCGTCGCGTCCGCCCCATTGAACTCGAACCCCGACGCTCAGCGGACGCTAGCGCAACGCCAAACGCGATGCTGTCTGCCTGAACGGTCTAATTTAAGTTAAGTGAATTGATTCCATTTCGACACGCGGACGCGATGCAAACGCGACGCGACGCTCGACGCTCTCAGCCTGAATGCACCTTTAGTTAGATGGGTTACTACAGTAGTCAAAATAGTAATGAAGTAATAGTAAGTTTACAATAATTTGAATAAACCGAATCATTGTTCACAAATATTTGTCTATTGACTTGGTGCATTTAAGTGGATTTTAAAAATTCCGACTGCAGCGCTCTAAACGGCAAAAATGAAAAGTATCCGACTAAAGTATTTCGCGCAGTCCTTTTACAGTTCATGTTGATTGCATTAAAATAATATTGAACTCGTGGCTTTATCATAATATTTAAGTATTTTCGTTTTTTGCTAGTGCAGTTATTGAGACTATTAAACACTCAGGTACGAGGTTTGTGTGATGTAACCAAAGACATCTAAAGAAAGGGAGATAAAACAGTTTACATTTTATCGCGATCATGAACCGTGTTCCGCAAAAATCGATGATGACAGATTTACGCGGTATGTGATAGAATACGGTTCGAGTTCCAAACGTTATTATTGTTATTAATGTTTTTTGGGTACCCAAAGAAACGTTAAACTAAATATTTGTATAGGTATAAATTTTAATTAATATACATAGATTGTGCCAGGATTATACCTTTGAAATTATTTTTAGATTTCTAATTAAATTATATTAGGGAAATTACAATGACAACTAGCGGCATTGCTGCGAATTCATCTTTACTACGAAATTGTCGAAATCTGTAGGAATTACGCTGACATTTTGACGTTTTCATTCAATTTATATTTGACAGCGCGCGGTTGTGTGTTTTCTGCGGTAGTTGAAAGTTTTTGTAGCTTTTGATCAACTTTCTAATAATTATTAGTGTTTATTGCAAAAAAACTATTTAAAGTAGTTTTTAACTATCTACGATGGTTCGCCAGTGCATAGTTTGTAAAAAGGTGGACTATTCTAACACGGGAATTGATATTTTGACGATAAGCGTGACTACGTTTTTTTTACCTTTAGCAATGCTTACAGTAGCGTATCTAGATACTTTTATTTATAAGTAGATTATTACGAAAAGACGTATGTTTGCTTATTTGTTGGCGCTTTCGATTGTGAAATTAGAGTTACCCTCAGTTAGACCTCTGGCAAAACTAGTTATAATGGAAAATTGGTTTGAGGTAATCCCAATCAATTTTTGATAAAATCATAAATTTTTGATAAAATTATAAATTTTTGATAAAAGAAACATCATGCCGCCGTCACGCCACTGACAGAGCTAAATGATAGAAAGATAGACGAAACTCAACCGTGTTGTCATATTTATGTACCCATCTCTTTTTAACAATCATAAAAGTGTCAAACCATGTATGCTTCTAAAAAATTGAGTTTTATGAATGGAGTGTTCTGTCTAAAGTAAACGCCACGAATGTTTGGGAGTGATTCATCGCTTGATGAAGTTAGAATCGACACGCGCGCTCTCATTTTTACATTAAAAACGTAAATTTTTACCGCAGATGTAGGTTTTTAAAGGCCCGGTTTAATCATCTGCCTGCGCTCCTCCTACTTATTCTAAAATGTTAGCGCGATTGACAAAGACGATACTATATCGCGTTTCTTTGATTGATTCGTTTTTGTGCGTCAGTCCATTGGTGTGGTTGCAGTGCGGCCAATGGGGCATTCCAGTTTATATTTATAACCAAATATATGTTTTGACAAGACTTTGACAGTTAAATCAACAAATTACAACAGATTATATATTGATTATTATATGACTTGAAACACCACGGCCCTGGAATTAAGTTTTATGTGACCTTGAACAGATTAGTTCACATGGTAGCGACCGATGAATCACTCCCAAACATTCGTGGCGTTTACTATACCCATTTAAATGTCTTTGGATGTAATGGTACGTATACATAGGTGCGCTGCGCCGCGAACGTGCAGCGCGCGCGCCGAGCGTTGTCCGCGCGTTACTTTTATTGTTTTAACGAACATCCCTCGATCCATCGAAATCCCGCGAACATTCGTCTAGTCGTTAATCATGTCTCTATCGTCCGAGAAGAACTAGCAATTTTAATCATGAGTAGTGCGACTCTTTAAACACTCCATTAATAAACAATATTCAAAGAAAAACACAAAAAAGGGAATTTATTCAAAGAAAATACACATAGTCACTGATAAATGCGCGCGGTGTCTTCACCGGCCGTCCCAATTAAACAACAAAACGAACAAACGAAGCGGAGGGCCGAAAAACTGACTTGAGATGGTTCGCCGCTAGCTATTTGCGCGCGCAACTTGAAAACACGTACCAATAGAAGTGTCTAGTCCTAGCAGTCAACTATTAAGCTTGACCAATCAGGTTGGTTAGCGTGGTTATTTGGAGTGTGTTAATTCATTTGTGTTTGTCAAAAACTCTAACGTGATTGGTCGGGCTTAACAGTTGCCTGCTAGGGCTAGACACAACTCGTACCAATCTTTGAATAAGAAGACTAAGGAAGGAGCATATCAAAAATCTTAGGTACACCGCGATGGGCCTCAAATATGGCCGACTTAAATTCCGGTTTATCAGTGTCGTTCTAATTGTATTTAAAAAATGTAAAACTATGATGTAGGGTAGACGTGGGGTAGACTCAATAATTTGTTGTTTTATTTTACGTTGTGAATAAATGTTGGTAGTTATTAAAATTGTTACACGTATGTATATTATATAGTCACTTACTAGCGAAAAGTTGTTCCATTATTTCACTCAATTTTTGCCGAGATCTAGCGCACGCTACACAACCAACTATTTTAGAGTCTTTTTCGATAAATCGCGATAGTGTCACTGTTAATTTAAGTTCTGCCACAATTTCCATCTAGATTTACTACGTTTATACAACTATCAGTAGTAGAATCCAAGTGGTAACCAACTCAAGGCGGAACTCAAGAACTTGGAAGATTCCATCCGCAACCTGGAATGGAAATCTTGCAATGGTCTAAGACACTCGAAGAAGTTTCTGAGGGCTTATGATCAAGAAAAATCACAGATCTTCCTGGGTCTGAGTAAGAACAATCTTCGGATTGTCACGGGGTTTTTAACAGGACACTGTCTCCTCAATGAACACCTCAGTAGATTGAAACTAAGAAGAAACGGCGAATGCAGATTCTGTGGGGGAAGATGGTGAGTACACCTCATCACTGAGTGCCGAGACGACAACCATTCGTGCCATGAATTTTGGTACGACTGATATTGGAGATGGAGAACTACCCTCTATAAAACCGTCCCAGATACTGGCTTTTGTCAAAGCCCTGGGACTGTATGATGAGTTATGATTCAAGAAAGGGGGACACAATGGATCTGTAAGGTCGAAGTGATTAACCCCCCTCCCACTCATTCTAAATTCTAAATTCTAAAAATCAGTAGTAGAATAAATAATAAATAACATAAAATAAGCTCCGTAAAGACTGACAAATCCACAAAATTTCAAATCACATTCAAATGTGTCAAATGAATCGTCAAACAGAACTGTCAAGGATCCCCACCCTAGAGAGCTTTTATGGTGGCTTTTCCGCCCACCATGCATGAATACATGGATAGCATTATGCTCCTTCCTTAGTCTTCTTATTCAAAGGTACCAATAAATGGGAATCAGTGCGCGCGCCGATGTATACGTACCATAACGCTGTTTCGGGTAGTAAAAAATAAGCGAACAATCAGGGCCCAGTCACTCTTATGGAGCATTAAATTACAAATTGACGATTCGGCCCACTATAGATGGTGCTAATTTACGTCGTGTATATATGGTTGCAGAACAGTTCGTCGTGTATGTATGGTTGCTTCAAACGTTACGATTGGCTCGGTGTTTAAATTCATTTTATGAATTTTGCGATTGATTTCCCTCTTCCGTCCACACAGTACTTCAAATACTCCTATATTTATGCTTCAAACTATATTTAAGCTGCCTTTATTTTGTTTTTAATACAAAATGTATTTCTCGTGCTTTTTGTATTCCAACTTTTTCATATTATATTATTCAAAGGTAGCCATATTTCTTAGTGCTTCTTGAATTATACAACTGTGATGAACTGCAACGAGATGAATTTTCAAAGTATAAGCAGCCTCTAGGATAAATTTTACATATCCATTGTAGCAGGCTGAATTCATAATTTATTACCACAAAGATATAATTCTCGTCAAGATATCTGGTGGTGTAGGGGATAAGGCTCTCGTCTAGCAACACGAAGGTAGCCGGTTCGAGTCGTGCTGCCGACACGACTTTTTTATTTAATAAATAATTATTTTGACCTTGAAGCCCTGAGCCGCACTCGGCCCGCTATAGATGGCAGCAAAAATTTTGTTCGCTTTTTTATTACATTGACTGATCGTTCTGTAGTTATTCTGTGGCGAACAAGAATTCGAACTAGGCGCCGTGTTGTGTTGTGACAATGTCAAGTTTTAATAAAACTGCCCAAAAATGTTAACACGTAAAAGAGCGTGTAATTAGGTGTTTGTTGCGTGCAATAACATTTAATAACTCAACTTTCCCGGATATTCAACTCTCTCGAAACAACAATTTATGCTTCACAGCTTCCCACCGATTTAATCAAAAGCAAAAATAGATTCAAGCATACATATATTTACACTAGTTGAAAGTATTCCAGGAAGAAAATTTGTTGTAACCTTTTAGCACTGCCATTTCTTAGAAAAGTAAACAATAGTTATTACTAGATATTACTTTGTGGGTAAATATAACTCCTAATGGAAAACTCTAGAAATGTAAATACTGTTTATATTCAGAGTAATTTTTCTC